TTTCAGGAGGAAACACACATTTGATCATGTTGGCGCCTTTTGTCTTGTTTTGTTATTAGCCGCAGGGTAGAAAAAGTCGGCGTTAATCTTTCTGCTACTCAGACATGTTAATGTCAGACAGGTTTAGCGTCAGCATTGTTAGCCCAGAAATGCTCCTATACATAAGATACACCACATATATGTACACTATATATACAGTATATGTACATATACTCTAAACTCTATCCACCAATTCCATGAATCAGAATGTTAAGCTGTGACAAATGTCTATCTCTCACTTTCTGTCTCTCTCTCTCTACAGTATATATAATTGCTGTCTACATTATCAGTGTGGTGTGAGGCGATGTCTCACCAAACGTCGCTCTTCTCGTGAAATAGTTTTGCTGAAGTCACTTCACTGATGTGGGCAGAAAAAAGAAGAGTTAAGTGAATTTAGCAGCAGATGTAGATTGGGTTAAAGAAGTTGTCGTCCAATGACAGTTAGATTACAACAATGTTCTAATGTGTCCCAGGGCATAGATATATTTCCTCTTTAATACATGCTGTAGCTGTGCACTGTCAGGAGAACTGTTGTTTCACTGTCACTTTCTTCACACCGTTGGACTGACTGTAGCAGTACAGCTTATCGTCATTGTTGTGGATGAACCTAGAAAAAAATCTCCAGGAGAGCCTGTGTGCCTCCTTAGTTTACTGTGACAATAATGCACTGTAACAGTCTGGAGGTTTGGTAACAGCAGTACATGGTGCCAGGTTTTGGCTGCACTTCTCACATCTTCTCCCACTCACACTTTCCTTCCATTGTCGTTGTCATTGAGCTGTGTCTCAGACCCACAAGGTTTCTAAATTTTACTAAGTTTTAAGTTTCATATTATTGTTTGAATGTACATTTTTCTAGGTTATTCTTAATAAACACAAAGGGTGCGATTGCAGTGCAGTGCATAATAGTGAGAGAGCTGCTGGTGTGGCTAAATCTGTGCTTTGTTATGAACTCAGGTTAAGGTCATTTCTATCTGTGCCAGAAATGTTGGGAAAAATATAAAAATGCGCAATAAACATAAAAATGTCATGCCCCCTGTTGGTGACCTTGGCTGTAGATACAGAATCTGCAACTAACACTGATCTGTTTCTTGTCTGTCTGTCCAAAATAAGTCTTGAGAATGAGAGCTTATTTCAATGAGACTGGCTTTATAAATAAATGTAAAAAAAAACAAATACATGCAATATTTTAATCAATTTAAAATAGTATCTAAGACAGTTGTATTAACCATCACCGCCTACTGTACAGGACAGTGGTTCACTGCTGACGAGAGAGACCAGACAAGTTGAAAGGTCCTGCAGGAACAGATAACCCCGCCATCAGGACAGCAGCTTTAAATAAACATCAACAGACTGAAGGTAAATGGCTGTTAGACAGGAAGTAGAACGTGAGGCTGCAGAGACACAGACCCACCAAAACTGGACAGGTTGCTCTTCTGCAGGAGGTTTAGAGTCAGAATCTAGAAATGAACAGCATGAATCAATAGGCCCAAGTTAATGTGTGAAAATTCACTGTTTTGTCACTGTTCATGCAGCGCTGTACAAGAACGATGTTTGAGGTTTGTTGACCCTATTGACCTCTTTGGTTTCATCTGAGAACATAAGCAAAGCAATACAAAAACATTAAAAAAACATTAAAAAAATAAAATAGTAGTAAACCTATAGACATACATTACTGGAACTCAACGTAAACTCAAACCTCTGGTCATTGTCTTGAACCTTGATTTCAAACCGTTGAAACCAAATTAGAATCATCTTGAACATTTATTTGGTGACATTTGCGTCTATAGTTGCTTCTTTTTTTCTCAGTTAGCTTTGCAACAACTACCTTAATAATTTCAGCCAACTATTCTAATGCCACTTAACCCTGGTACACACCAGTTTAAGTGTTCTTCAGCTGGGGAACCTGTTCTGTGAATGTGTGTGAAATTGTGTATGCTCTTTCTGATTACTCTCATGAGACCATTTATCCTTTGCCGGCGGGTATACATTAACATTTTTCTTGCTGTGCTACATTATTTAAGGTCTCTCTTGTTACTAATGATGATTTTTGTGATTAAATACTGCTGTGGGGTGGTTTCATTAAATGTTACAGAATATTACAACATCATATTACCGGATTATGATGTAGTGTCTACATTAACTTTAATGCTTTCCATACGACTAATACTTTGGTTCTCAAAGAAATTAGCTGTAGGATCCTCATCTTACTTTGGGACCAACCAAATTATGTTTGGTTTAGTATTTTATTTTGCTTGTTAAAAGTTCTTATACACGGTCTGTGATTTATGGGTGTGTTACTTGTACACTGTTTCTCTTCCTCTCTTTCTCTTTTCCATACAGGGTGGAAGTATTGTCCTGAGGCCACCTGTTGGTGCTGATCTAAATGTGGTCGTAAAGTTTTCAAATATGTTGTTTATTTGTACGAACAGATTGTAGATCATTTTTTTGTTGTGACATTTTCTGAGTAGCACCCACACGTGAGCAGGTGATACAGTGTTCTCAAAATTATGTTTGGTTTAGTATTTTATTTTGCTTGTTAAAAGTTCTTATACACGGTCTGTGATTTATGGGTGTGTTACTTGTACACTGTTTCTCTTCCTCTCTTTCTCTTTTCCATACAGGGTGGAAGTATTGTCCTGAGGCCACCTGTTGGTGCTGATCTAAATGTGGTCGTAAAGTTTTCAAATATGTTGTTTATTTGTACGAACAGATTGTAGATCATTTTTTTGTTGTGACATTTTCTGAGTAGCAGCCACACGTGAGCAGGTGATACAGTGTTCTCAAACTGGCTCGGGGAACACTTCCGAGCCACGAACCCCCTTGATGTCAATAATATTTTTTCCATTGAGGTAATTATTCTCAATAAATATCTGTTTGTTTCCTTTAGGATTAAACATCAAACACTAATGTGGCCCTCCACTGAAATGACAGTGGCTCTGAGGTCATTTGACTTGGAGACCCCTGCTCTACATCATGCATGATTTGTATTTTCTTATATGGAGTTGAGCAACTGTTAATAAAAGTTGAATGCGTATTATGTTTGCCTCGTCCTCTTCTTCCTGCCAGCAGCTAAGTATTCAAAGATTGTGCCCTTCTTCGTTCTCTGACATACACAGCACCCTCAGCTGGATTGCAATGTTTATGTTCCTATCTTTGCACAACAAAAGATTCACCTGAATCCTCGAACTTTGTTCGACCCTCACTCCCTAGGCACTCGTTGCACTCAGTGCTTCCCAGGAATGGGTTAAATGCAAAGGACACTGATTTTTTTTAATGTATACATCACTGTATATATACAATGATTAATAAAGCTGACTGTTCTTCTGTGTGTATTCTTATATATTAATTATATTCGTTATCAGACTGTTTTTGAAGGAGCACTGTAGGCTATAGAAACATACTGCGGTGAGGCATACAGGAGAACACGTGGTAGCCTTGATTTATCATTAAAGAACATGCATTCAGTTTCTCTAATAAGGGTTCATGCAAAATATGGATCTCCAGACCAGCTGTGTTCAGAGAGAAGAAATGCAAATTTAAATAAAGACAAGACCCATGCAGTGGTTCACATTATGAAAATGTAGAAATGCAGAAGAAGTATTAAACTTTTATTTTAATACTTTAATACTCTGCAGTATTTAACCTCTGTCTCTTTGTTGCTGCAACACAACAGCTCCCCCAGTGTGGGATCAATAAAATTCAATCTAATCCAATCTGTTCTTTAATCAGATCAAAAAAATGCTGAATGGCTGGTATGAAAATATTGATGAATAATTCTCAACATTATTCTTTAGAAAGGTGACACTTCACAGAGCAGCAGGGAGTCTCAGTAGTAGACTGATCTGGACTACAGCCGGACAGACGTGTGTCTGGTGCTTGCAGCTGTGTTTATTTTGATCAAAAATAATATTTTTTAGCAGTCTTTATGTAGTGTATTTTTACATGTACCAGCCCTGTCCTCCGCTGCAGCCCGATGTGTGTGAACACGTGTGGCTAATGTACGGCATGAACAGGCCTCAGAAAAATAGTCTATTTTTATATAATTATATAAGGACTTAATTGTGTTTTTATTTGAAGGCCATTACATTAGGGGTTTGTGTATTGTTTTGGTGCAGTACTTGAAGGGCAAATTCTGCACAGTCTTTTTATTGTACGGCATATCTTAGTGAGATTACTGAAGGCATAATGCAACACGTGAATAATAATAATCTCACAATATCCTTCTGAAGAAAAAAAGGGCACGAGCAGTATAATGTCAGATTAGTCCTGTGGTAGAAAGCCTCTGTCGGAACACAGTACTACTGGAGACTAGTACTGTAAGTAGCAGTGTCTGGTGTGGGCGACATGGGTCTTACATGCAGGCTGTGGGAGAAGCCGTGAGGGGGTCGGGTCCCTCTTCTGCATAGTCCAATGTAATAGTTACGCTGACTATATGAAATAGTAAGTAACAGTAAATATTAGATTTTTTTTGTTGCTTTGATGGAGAATTTTTTTTTTAATTTAGAGGTGCCCTACTATATGTACTGTATATTTAATAAACAAATATATAGGTGTAATTAACTTTAATTTGACTTCTGCAGATATATTAAGCCCAGCTGTTTTACCAGAATATTTCACTTTTTTTTAGTTTTCCACTCTTTTATGATCATACAGTATCTACCACATGACTATCATGTGGGGTTATTTTAATTCTAATATTTCTGGATTATTAACTCAAATTAAAGCGAGTTTATATGAAAAATTCTACTCGTGGAGGAGATTGGAGGAGATGCTGGTCCGACTTAACCCCAGGGCATCAAACAGACTGAGACTGCCACTGAGTACGGTAGAGAACGTAGGTATACTCCCGTATTAAACTGTAGAGGTCCCTCTTCCACCGGCTGCTACACCTTGGCTGCACCTCCTTTTCTGACAGACTCCATGCAGTGGTCCACACGCACAGGGCAGGACGGACAGGACGAGGAGGGGCTGCGTGAGGAGGCACAGAGGAGCTGAGGGTGATCTGAAGGAGAGAGGAGTCCTCACTGCTGCTGATGGGAGTGGAGCTTGGAGATGCTGCTGCTGCTGCTGCTGCTGCTGTGTTAGGACGATGCTGATGCTGTAGTGGGAGACATGCGCTTCTCTGCACTCCTCTGTCAGGTCACACTGTACTTACTGTAAAGTCCGGTCCGGTCCGGTCCAGTTCCTCTGCCGCTTCCCTGCTGGAGTCTGTCCTTGCTGGAGTCCGGGATGGTCGCTTCTCCTCTGCGCACACTGCTGCTGGGTGAGTTAAGGCTGCAGCTGTGATCCGAAGGATGAGAGGGTTTTAATGTTGATTGTGTGTGTGTGTCCGTGTGTGCGTGATCGAGAAGTTTGGTAGTTTTCCTCAGCTGCTCTGCTGCAGTCTCTTGTACACGGATGAAGAAATGCAGCGAACTCTTAACTGCGTTTCAGGCGCAACTTCCAAACAATGCAAACACCGCAGGCAGGCAGGGCTGCGCCGATTAGTCGAGTAATCGTTTAATGAACCCGGCGCTACATCAGTCGATAACTTTTTTAATTGCTTTGAGCACTTATGTGTCTCAGCTTTGTGCAGGCGTTTTTACATGTTTGCTCCTTCATTATAATAAAATGCACCAATGACAGAAATCAAATTAGGAAATCCAGAGTTGCAGCCCTGACATTAGAACAATTATTTTTAAACATAAATTTATATTTAAGACATTTGGATGTCACCATGTCAGTTGATCATCTTGTCCTTTGTCCAGTCACTGTTACCCAGTTGCTTTATCACCATTGATGATGGTTCTGACACGTTGGCTGTTGAAATGAAATAGAAATAGAATAAATAGAAACTATAATACTGCTGCTTCTCCACGTACGTCCTATGTTTGTATAAAAAGTTTATTGGACTTTTTTTATATAAAAAATGTGACTTATTTTGGATCATTTTCCATTCCTAACATTGTTACTTTCTTTTGGCTAACCTGTTTGTTTTGATTAGATATGTTGCTGTATTGTTGGGTTATATTTACATTTTTACAGAGTCATTACTTGAGCACATTAATACGTTTAACTTAACTTCATTCTCAATGTTGTTCTTCCAACCAGGCAATTCCCATAACAAAAAATATCCCTAACTATTTACAGATGTGCATATCTGGGACCACATGTTATTGCACAAATTTCCCATCATTCTTTAATTACTTGTAAACCACTCTTTTAGGATTGTAATATGTCAAAGAACAAACAATCTGTGGGGAATTATGGTGTAACCAAAAGGACTACATTTCCCCAGAGTTGTATGGTAACATAATCTTTTTGAGAGCGGGGCGTAGAAGAAGGAATTTCTTCCTCCATGAAGTGAAGCATGAAGCTTTATGTCCAAGGGCATTCATCTCGTATCAGCCAGGAGTCCAGGAGAAACACAAATCTCGTCTTCCTGTGTAAATCCTCCGGTCAGTCAAAGAAAATAGAAATCCAATAATTCGCAGGATAATGTTTTTCCCACTGCCTCTTTAAAGTTGCCCACACTTGTTTAGCTCACTGACAAGCTGCACCACACACACACACACACACACACACACACACACACACACACACACACACACACACACACACACACACACACACACACACATACACTTGCACACACACACACACACACACACTTACACTTGTATGTACATGACTGTGACAGCCTCTGCCTGGTTGTAGGCTCAAAACCATGAGTGAGATGCACATCTAGGCTCAGCACTGAGTCGTCCCAAGCGTGGGGTCGTGATGTCGTAATTAGTCTGGTTGATGGCAGCTTTCATTAGTAACATTATGGTACTGAGTTCAACAGGCCATGGCAAACAGCATGTTCCAGCTCGTGGCGCTGCCTCCTTTCACTCTTTTGCTACAAACCCATGTCCTTCATTTGCCACAGAATAAATGCAGCTGTGTACGTTAGATGGGGTCACAATTAGTCAGCTCCACGCGCTCATCAGAGGGAGACATTCGAGGCTGGTGCGCAGTGCTGACTCTGCAGTAATGCCTCCTTTCAGACTGTAGGTGGGAAGATTTCCAAGGCGTTCTCATCAACCTGCCTGCTCTCGTGACCTTGAAATAAACCTGGTCCAGTGACGGATGCCAATATCATACGCATAAAAGCCTTTTTACGGCACATTCTTTAAATCCAAAATTAATGCTGAGAAGCAAAGATATTCTAATGAAAATGGTTCTATAACTGCCACTAAAAGAATGAGCCACTGCTACAGAATTTATATCACAGTCCGAGGGGCCGGTGAGGAAAGGAGGCTAAATCTTTCTTGTACTTTCCGTCTTCACCCCAGCTGCTTTTTGCTCGAGGCTCTATTTTTACTGCACCTTCTGCACGTGTGACCTTTACAGTAGACATTTGTGTTCCTCCTGTTACATGAAATGAAAATCACAATTGTCCTCTGTTGGCCCCTGTGTCTCTTGACATGCCCTGTGTGTCATGTGTCCACCATGAGTTGATCACACCAACTATGGATTAAGATGAATTTGTCCACTAGTCTTTCTATACTGTATATACAGTATATATAGAGAGAGAGTGTGGATCACCCTTCTATACTGTATATATATATAGAGAGAGAGTGTGGATCACCAGGGGCAGCACAGACAATCTGACAAGTGTGGATATGAGAGAAGTCCTCAGTGCCTGAGGTTAGAATGTGACAGTGTTCTGGCCTTGAATCTCTCCTTCATCACCTCCTCTTCCCTCTCTCTTCTCCGCCTCTGCGGTGTGAACTGGAGGTGACTTTGACAGTGTTGGGTAGACTTTGTTGGGTAGACACATTTATTCTTTCACTTTAAGATAGGGCACTCAAAGTCAGCATACTGTACACTTCAAAACGTGTTCTTGTCCAGATTCAAATTGGGTTTTTCCTTGTGCATGTCAGCAGTTTTCTTGGGCAGACTGTATTGTGCAGCTCACAGTTATACAGCTCTTGCAATCTCTTACTTAACCAAACTAAACAAAGGATATATTTTTTTACACTCCTTATATTGTAGGCATGATATATGTTTCTTTATGTATCCTTAATCAACCTCCTTGTTGTTTTCACTCCAGGTCCTCAGATATTCTATTGAAAAGTTACAATAGTAGGCTACACAACATGTGATGCAACCAATAATGTGCACACTATTTGTATTTTAAATGGGTATTTCTCAATTGTCACCAAAGTGGCAACACAGAAACCTCCTAACTCAGAGGCTCAAGTACAAAAGCAGAGTCTGCTACAGTATATGTAACAAGAGCCGACCGTGTGAATTTCTTTAAAACTTTTCATTTTATTTTCTCACGTTATGTAAGTGTATAAGTTATGGAAATGAAACCTGGCACTTCTGGATTTGCTGCTACTGTCTGATTATGGATGGAATATTTCACTCTGACTTTGCATTTTGAATGCATTCATCTTGGTTTTTGAAAGTGCATCACTAGTTGCCATTTTTAAAACATATGAAGTGAAAATACATTTTGCCCATTCTAGTCTGTCTGTCCTCACCTCGAAACACTGCCCTTAAAACATAGACAACAACATGGCTGAAGTTACTGAGAGATTTTTAGGAGCTTTAAAGTACAGTGAACTGGCGACTGATCAAGGGTGTATCCCAACATTTGCCTGACAACAGCAAAGATTAGCTCCACCCATGTCTGTGACTCTTTATGGGAAACATCAGTTAATTTTAACACAAAGCTGTGAGTACTGTTATTTTGCAGTATTACTACGACATGTGGTCCAACATAGTAGTTGTTGTCATGCTTGTGTTAGACCAGGCTTATGCATTCACAGTATGTCATTTGGAGTACAATGTAACATGTCCAGTTTCCTGATAAAACACCACTGCACTTAACACATGCAGATTTCTCTGTTTTAGCACCATCTAAAGTCCACCTTAAGTAAATGCAGGGTGTGTCCTCTGTTGATTTGCACACTAAGTTGATTAATTTAAGAACGCAATTATTGTTGGTATCATGACCATAATCAAAACTGATTACCCAGAAAGCACCTAGACACAAGAACAAAAACAGAGAAATGACCATGTAAGTATTTCCCTTTCCCATAATTCCCTCAACACAATCGTATTAGAGATATCCAGGATTCTAAAAGCATGATGCCTGCTGTCACACGACTTCACGCTGTGACACTCGCCGTGGCTTCGTGTGCACATGTGCAGGCATGTGTAAAGTGCGATTTTTAATTAGCCCAGCGCAGCAGCACGAGGAACTTCCCCTCAGAGTGCCTTCAGTGAGCTGACAAAAATCACAGTGACACCATTGTCCCTGTGTCTCTCCTCACGTCCGTCAAACCTCACCTCACCCCTCGCTACCTCTCTTCGTCCTTCACTGCCCACACACCGTCCGTCCCAACAGTGAGGCAGCCTCTTCTCGGCGAGAGTTTAACTGCAGACTTTGAGGAGCTGCAATACAAGCCAGTGGCTATTTATAAAATCAGCTGTGTTGCATTCAAAGAGCTTTAGGCCTGTTACACAGAGATGATCAAAGAACACACCGCATGCTTAAGACATGACCGGACACTAGAGAATATGCAACCTATTGTTTATTTTTAATGGTCTTTCAGTCATTTGACTGTGTTACAGATGTTCTGTATTTAAACCCTGCATGTCACATGATCACATCCAGAATAATTACTTATAAAAACTGTCATTCTTATGCAGAGAAAACAAGAAGACTTTTTGCCTGCGGTGTTCATACGCCAAATGTCCAAAGTCTAGAAGAACTGCATTTCTTTTCCAAAGCTGCTGTTCTGGGAGTTATTTTCAATACAACTTCAATACTTCAGATGTGTTTTCTTCCACTTGTCAGATCCCATCATGCACTGGAGCAACAGTGTATAAAGCACAGATTTACACCTTGAATTGCTCCTGAGACTTTAAATGACTGCATCGAGGTCAGGCTGGGAGGCAGGCTGAGGGAGGCTTTTGTGCGAATTTGGTTTCCCGTAATGGAGACCATATGTCCTCTGTGTTTTTACTGCGGGAAACCAGGCTGATATTCATTTCCAAAATATTTATCTTGAAATATTAAATCCACCCACCTCACAGATTTTTAGGCCATTCAGTCATGTGGGCTATGTGGGTGTGTTTTCTTGAAAGTGCTAGGACAATTTCATTCTGCTTCTGCTTCTGCATGGAGGTGTTTGTTAGAAGGCAGCATTCACCAAAGACAGAGTTCTCGCTTGTGGTAATTCTCTGTCCTGCTCATTAAAACTCATCAGCATCACAGTGAAGCTG